GGGACTGGCTACTGTCACATGCCAGTCTGTGGGTGAAGCAGGACATGCTGTTTCAAACTGCATTTTGTTTGCTTTGAACATGAAACCATAAACATGTAATAACTTGGCAAAGCTTGCTCAAAATGTTTACAGATGTCAGAGGCTCTTTTTAGAAATATAACCTTTGCACTTTCTAAAGGTATAAGTTATACATTTATAGTATCCAGCCTGGAAATGCCTTCACTGAAAATGGTGCTGATGGTCAGCACGGAGTTCAGAGACTTAGTGGAGGAACTGTCCAGTCTGTACAGCAGCTTGTAAGGAGGAGAGGCACAGCCACCCTCAGCAGCACAGTCATCCTGCCGTTTGAGCTGAGCAGTCAAGAATAAAAAGAGTAGGAGACGACTTGGCTGCTTAAATGAAGTAAATTTGGCTCGTACGTACTGTGTGGATAGTAATTTTAATAGCAGGTTGAGAAAGGCATCAATCTACTGCATAATTTTGCTGTGTTTCATGCCGCCTACTCTTTAACTGTGTAAGAAGACTGTCCTTAATGGTATTTGAAGAAGCGCAGAATTGTCCTTGAATACTTTTAATACACTCATATGAAATTTCCTTAAACAAAATCAGACTTCATGTCCTGGGCAGGCCTTTTTCTTGTTTTATCTCAAGGAACAAAACACACTAAATACAAGGGGACTAACTGCACTATTTTCTCTGGGAGTTTGACCTAGATCACTCCAGGAGAGAGCAAGGATGGGGAAAAAGACAACCCATATTCCAATTTCACTACTTCACCTGAGTTCATACGCTAAAGGTAGAGATAAAATTATAGTAAATGAAATACAAACACCACCTAAGTCTGCTCAAGTTAAAATGTTCTCTTTTCTTACCTCCTCACTCATTAACTGTTATTGCGCGTTATCCTCACATTCGTTACTGGTAAGGCTCTGCCACTGACAAAAGACTACAGCTTTACTAAAATCTTTCACTAGTTACTCATCTTAACTAAGCCAACAGCAGAAAAATACTTTTTTGATTATTATCAAGGTAACTTTTGTTTTGCTTTGTGTTAGAATAGTCAGTCTACCTACAATTTTACTTGGAAAAAACCCATCAGTTAAAAACTTAGATGTCAATTATTTCAGAAATGCATTTCTCCATCATTTCTCAACACCCAGCTGGTTATGACTTAATGAAAGAATTGCTTCTTTCAGAGACTTAAACTTTATTAGTAAAGAACCTTTAAGTAGACTTGAATATTCTAGCATTTAGATAGAAAAAGTGTTAAAATGTTAAAACTGAATATACTTATCTACTTATATTCAAAAAAAGGATTTGGGAGTTTTAAAAAAAGGATAATATCAGGGAAATAACTCCCGGCTCTGCAGAAAGACACCTTTCCAATTATAAATAATTCCCCAACTCTCTGATAACAAAAAGGAATCTATCACAGACTGCAAGATAAAAATCAACAGCAATTAAATTCTTAGGATTAAAAAACTATGATATTGATAAATTGACACATAAATTGTTGTAGACTCTTTTAAAGGTGCAAGTATTTACTTTGACATGGGCCCAATTATACTACAGGAAAATTTATTTTAAATTTGAAATGCACATTTTCTTGTATTACTGGAAATAATTTCAGTAATACAACTAAAATATTTTGTCAAAAATCACTATACAAAATTTCTCAGAAAGGAAAGTATTGGAACTCTGCTGATTGCTGGAAGCAGTCTAACAGTGTTTTCATGTTTTCTAACTTGCAAAAAGACGGCAAAAATGGGAAAAAAGAGAGGATTAACACACATCAGAATCTATATTCCCACTACTTCTCAAGTGCCATTTACTGCTATGAAGACTCACTTAATGTTATGATACACACCTTGAGAAGGAAAGATCACCACATAGAAAAAACCAAACCCACTGGGGCAAGAAATTGCTCTTTTTGCAGAAGTATCAGTTCTGCAGAGGACTGTGCAGAACATATCAATAATCTCTTTCTAATATGAATTTAATTCTCATGCAAGTGTTGATCTCCCACCTACTTTAATGTTTAATACTAAATGTTACATTAAAATGTCTAATATTAGCTGCTGCGAGCAGTTAAACTGAGCAAAGCTTCCAGTCAGAATTTGATTTTAGGTCTGTACCAGCTAAGAAAAGAAATACATCTCATACTGCGGCAGCTCCTCTCAGGCAAGCTGAGGAATGGGACTGGGATCTTCCAGAGGGAATTACAGCCACTCTTGGCTGCACTGACACTTAGACCAACCGGACGGCTTACCCCTGGACCTCCATCCCACGTTTGAGAGTCCAGTCTTGATTTCTTTCTAAAACAGGCACAGAAGCTAATCACAATGTTCCCTTCCCCAATCTCTTCTGGGCTTCTTGGGACAGCTTTTATAAAACCCAGACTGATGCTATGATGGGGGGTATTATTAAAGTATTTCACATCTATAGATCCATGTGCACGAATGGCTTTATCGAACATCACAGAGTCATAGAACAGTTAGGGCTGGATGGGACTTCAGGAGGTCACATCATCCGACCCCCTGCTCAAAGCAGGATGAATACAAAATGGAAAATTCACACTTTTCCATTCTATGATCCATTAACAAGTGATTCCGGCTCCTTTTTTTCACACCCTTTCACACCTCTTTTCTCTGTCTCTCCCTCTGTGCAAGCCCCTCTTCGTTCAATATAGTACCTGGGAAGAAAAAATGTGCACTGCTAACGGACTGGAAATGCTTTGAGTATACCAATAAAATAGCATGAAAAGGGGGAAAAGTGACATAATTCGTTAAGATTTATAATAATCTAGTGGCAAGATTGCTCTCTAGGGACTGGTAAGAAAATAATGTCATCACGGGTACAAGGAAAGCTACCGCCATAGATCAAAAACTGGCTAAGAAAATTAAGAACAGGCAAAGTACTGTGTCAAGCCTAATGATTTCACCTGAAACAGGGTAGTGAGGAATTAGAGATGTATTCCAGCACGAGCAAGAAGAGGATTGGAGAGACAGAGAACAACTCTCCGGGTAATGAAAATAACAAGAGAGGCCTCGGGTAAGAGATGGTGATCTGAAACTTTCACTTCCTTTTTCCTTATTAAAAGTGGAGGAGGAGAAAGTCAATGAAATGAGCAACATAAAATTTTATAAAGAAACTGTAGGAAGGATAAAGAGAATATAGAAATGGCTTGCTGCCCTAGCAATGGCTGTTGAAATCAAGGGTTTAGCACATTTTAAAGAAACATTATACCTTTGTACAGATGATAGCCCTATTCAGAGTTGCAGGTTATCTTAAAACTCAGGTTGCATGAAAAATCTTTCTGTTCATGGTGTTACTCCCAATCCATGTACACACAGAAACAAAAAACCCAACAACACAAATCCCCCAAAACCCTACCCAAAATGTACAAACCACACAATTGGATGGAAAGGGGACAGACTTCACCTTCTCCTGAAGTACGTGATAGTGATCACTGATCAGTCAGATTGCCAATCTGTCTGCATGGCATTACTTGTGACTACAGGAGTCTACAACACCACAGAAGCTCGTGGAAAGGCTAAATATCTGCCACATGTCATGCCTGGGGATGATGTGTCACTGAATGAGCTACTGCTCTGAAATTTATTCCTTGCAGGCAGGCATCTGTGTTACCTAAGTCACACCATAATGAGATTCTTACCCAGAAATCAAGGACAAAACGACTTGGTGTCTGAACTGCATTCTCAAATTAAATACTTGAAAAATTTTAAACTAGTATTTATGAATTTAATTATTAGAAAATATTAATTATAAAATTTGTTTGAGGTTTTTAAACCCCAAAATACATGCAAAAAGATTTTATCTGGCAAGATTATGGTCATCTTCTTAGGTACACTGGTACTTAAATTCACAAACTCATAAAACATGAATAAAAATACTCTGCTGCAAGGTTTTTGGATGGGTTTTTATGTGTGCATTCCTTATCCTATGGCTGGTGCTTTTAGGTGCTGCTTTGTTATAAATAGGAACTATCCTATTCATCATTTTCTATCTTTCTAATTTAAGAATTTATTATGTAGCCAGGGAACAAAAATCAATAACACCTGACCTGAAGGAACCAGATATTATGCACAGTGACTTGCTGAAGTGAGCATTTTTCCGTAACTTGAAGATTTAACTTTGAAAATAAGTTTTAAAATGTTCATCCAAACCAGTCGTGATTATTTATGAATAATGGATGCATCTGAACAAAACAGGTCTCCTTTCAAAGCAGTTTTCCATAGGAAAGAGATCATAACATTAAGTTAGATAAGGCACCTAATACTACAGAAACCTGTCCAGTTCTCTCTTCAGCTGTAGAAAATATCTGTACCAAACCCAGCTGAGTCACTGAGCTGGATGGCGCAGTCTTGTGATGCCGCCGTCTGTGTCACACTTAGTCTATTACACAACAACCATCTATTCAGCACCTTTCAGGAACACCGAATGAACTCAAAAAAGAAGGAACATTGTCTTCTCCAGGCCCTCCTCCTCAAGTTCTTCACTCTACAGAAGTTCTCTCAAAGTTTTACATTTATGAATAGCATTTTATTCTTGCCAAGATCTCTGTCCTACATTCACCACTGCTTCAGCTTCTGGCCATCAAATATATGCTAAACAGGAGAGATTCACTACACACCAAACAATTCTACAGAATGCAAAAACTTCGACATTGCCCCTTGCATTGTTGTCTTCTATTTCTATCGTCCAAAAACCGAAGAGAGCTTGCTAAAAAATTTTATGCTTCATAAACACTGGCAGAATAGAAAGCTAGATAATTTCTCCATTTATCAGCTAACTCTAACAAAGAAATTATCAAATAAACCTGTAAACGTTGATAGATTTTAAGAATAGATTTCTCTGAGGTGCTGTGAAATGCTGACAGCATTTCACATAATCTATTTGAAGGCTATAAAGATGTAATGTGACTGCTTTCCACAGAATTGCGAATCTGACAAAAATCCCCCTGCTAAATAAATACTTACCGTAGTCGTTATCGTAAAAAATGATGAATTTCTGCCAGGCATATTCTGTGACCACCCTCAAGATGACATCATTTAAGTAGACAGGGGGACGGACGGAGAGTGTGTAGTCATCATTGCGGTTGCTCCTGGTGAGCCCACAGCCGCTCCTTGGCGTTCCTGCCGTGGAGCGCTGGATGAAGAGGTGAGGGATGTGCATGGCGTCTGCCAGAGACTGAAGGGATCCCGCTGACGTGCAGCCAATGGAGCTGACCAGGGCCAGGATGCCTTGGTTCATCAGGTCACAGGCTGTAAGAAAACGCAGAGATATTCAAGATGAGAGCGGTTCAGCACACAAGGCCTATTTTGTTGTTGAGACACAGACACTGGGAACTGAAACACAACAGGTTCAATCAGGAGAAATACGGATATAATTTTGCACGTTGAGTAATTCAGACCTAAAATTCATGAAAATCACAAGGCTTCTCTATCCACATTGTGCTGTCTTGTGGTGACAGCAGGAAGACTGCTCCATCCACCTTGCCCCAAAATTAATTACCCCTTGAAAATGAGACACACCCCTGGGCCTTCTGAAGAACACTAAGAACTGATTCCAGCTACCAAATCAACATGACCACCCAAGGAGATAAACACTCTCCAAAGCTCCATTAATACGATCTTTGCATTATATAGAGACAATCTGAAGAAACAAAAGCTCAGGCTTGCTGGTAATTCTATTCAGTTGTCTTCAAAAGTTATGTACATTAACTTGTCAAAGCAAAAACTAAGTTGCTTTGGGGTTTTAAGAAATATATGCAATAGTCTTATGTAAGTTATTATTTTTCTTTTTTTTAAAACAAAACAAAAAGCTAGTTTTATAAATAGCATAACGTTTTCAAAATTCAGTGAACAATTTGCCCTCCTTACTTCTATAAGAAAGCCATGGAGCTGTTTATGTAAAAAATAACACCTTGTAACTAACAGTCCTGTTAATGAGGGCTGAGTTACAGTACCAATGACATCCACATTAATATCAAAGGTGTTTATCATGATTAATGTTAATGAAATCAATAAATATAAAAAGAATTAATAATCATTAGGTCTTTAATTTTGAAGTACTACCCCGTGAAATAGAGCAGAGTCAAATGTTTATATTGGGTTTCTAACAGACTTCGGAGCTTGAATGAAGAAACAACACGGGCTTGTAGCGTAATTCCCTGGAGCACACCCAAGGCTAAATTTTGAAATACTCAATTTGCCACTGGCAAAGCTACACCTGCAGTTAACCTGCATTTACACATGTAAATTAGATAATGGGATGGTAAGGAGTAATATGTATTTACATATGCATATCTAATACTAAACTGTGCAATTACTTATTTTGCAAGAATATTCTGCACACACGACAGGTGCAGCCAAAAACAAGAAACCCACATGTGAGAATATATTTCCCTAAAAATACGAAAACATATTTTAGCGCCAGACCTGTTGTCTCATATCATATGGCTCTTACTCACAGTGAGTAATGTTTTACTCCACAAACACTTATTGATGTCAGTGGGAATATTTACAGTGTGAGAAATAGAGTTCCGCATTCAGGCCCACAAAGAGTTTGACTTTGTAGCCAATGGACAGCACTGGAGGTCACGAATGCAGAGAACCACCTTCTCCTGAAGCCAGTGCATTATTCTCCTTAAGATACAGAGATCAGGAACACGGCACAGTGGATTCCCAGAGTGAATTGACACTGCTGAGGCTCTGCCCAATGTGAACACTTCCAAATTCCTTCATACAGATAAATATGGGAAGGGCCAGTGTTCTCACAGAGAGGTTTAAAGTGTTTTGGCTTAGGATAAAGCATTCCCTCGGGCTTTTGGGTCAGCTTCTGGGCTTTGGGTTAAAGGTAATACATTTTTAGTGGTCATAAGTATCCTTTTTTTCAGAAAAATGCCATATACCTTTGGTAATTGGACAAAAAAATTGTCAATATCTCACAAGTTTCTAATAATAAGAACATTTCAAAATAATCTTACTGTTCAAAATAATCTTATTCATCTTTTATGCTGCTTGCTTACATTCTTCATCATCACTTTCAACAAAGATAAAAGGCTTGTCAAGTTTTTTAGAGAGATACTGAGTCTCTTTCCAGATATGGTTCTCCTCACCAAGTACTGCAATATCTAGGTTGCATATCCTACTGAGAATGCTATTACTTTAGAAATAAACTATTTTTATTGATATATTGATTTATCTATCAATAAATACCTACAGCTACCTATATGTCACTAGATATCCTTATAGCTAGATATCAATAGACAAAAAAAAAATTGGTATTAGATTTTACAAAAGTCTGCTTTTAATTCAATGAAAATTTAAGTCTACATGGTCCTGATGTCACCTGCTCAAATAAAATCTGTAGTGTGACCCTCCACTCTCTCAAACACCACTTTTAAAAATATACCGGACTCCGGCTGCGTTACAAAAATTGCTTGAAAATATCTAAATTTCCAGGAACACTTTCAGACTGAGAATAACCAGTGTGCTCCCTGTAATGCTATGAAGTGGGAAACATGCTTTTTGTGAAAATTGTTATTGAAACATGAAGAGGAAGAAAACAACGTGGAACATTTAGCTCCACAGGGCCGAATGCTAATACTGGCAAGCAAACTGAATAAAGGATTAAAACCATCTCTCTTGACACTGCACCACATTTGTTACAATAGCCTCAGGACTCAAGTTGCCCTTGTGGCTCTTTCTTCCATGATACGCTTATGAGAATCATGTCTGCTGGATTGGGGCAATATGCACTTAATTATGCTCGCAAATGGACCTTATTCCTGTACAGTTAGAGACTATTTAATACACAGAGAATTAGCTGCTGGAGAAAGGGCTGTTATCTCAGAGGCAGCTTTTCTAGAAAATGAGTGCATGAGTTGCAGAGTTCGCCTCTGAGTTAATCTAACTGGATTATTCTTTGACTAGAAGTATAATTTGTACCACATATAATATAGGCTTTACTTTGCGTGTGTATATGTCAAACTGCCATGTATGATACTGACATATTCCTTTGCTAACCAGAACTTCTGATGGCTCCAGTGGAAGAGCTGATTTGTAAAAGGCATGAAACTGAGGTCTATATGTTTTCTTAATCCTTTTTCAACCTCACAAACAGAAGCTCTATTAAATTATTTTCGTAGTGATCCAAATCTTTGAACTGTATCTTATCAATTGACTAAAAGCTCTAGTGCAAACAGATTTGAAATCCTGCTTGCATTCCTTCTAAAGCCTGAAATATCCAAGTTCTATTTTGTCCTATGCGTGTTAAAAAAAAATCCACTCACATATATATCTATAAAAGGACTTAAAGGACTTAAATGCTACCTTGCCATTCAAAACCCTGTTGCAATTTAATTTGCTATGACCACCTTAGAGATTGTATTTCCAAGCTGGTATTTAGTTTACTGCCAATATGATCACGGAATATTAGTTTACTGCTAAGTAGAAAGAGAAAAATATTGCTGTGTCTTTTAAGACTTCAGGACGGTAGAAATGTCACATTCAAATGGACCTGTACACAGCTCCATTGAAAGTTTAACAAAGAAGGAACAGAAAACTACTAATAGTGTTTATAAAGCTCTGATGTTTCATAGCACGTTATGTTTAAACATAAGTTGTCCAGACATTAATTCGCCCTCACAACTGCCAGATAGTGGAAGTTATTAAAAACTGGATCTTCTCCAGCTAAAGGAATAAAAAGTGATTACAGAATTTTACACATTGAGTAGAGAAAATATCAGGAAAGTCTATAAAATAATTCAAAATAGTCTCTATGTATATCTTCAATGGACAAACATCTCATGCATAGCACACACTGGCATGAACCAAGAATTACACTTAACCCTTCAGCTAAATTTGTCTTTCTCAAAATGCAAAGTTACTGAATGTCCAACACTGACGGGCCGATAGTCAGTACAAAAAAGTGATCTTTTAGATCACTTTTCTAAGTGAGTTTGACATGACATCTAAGGAAAATTTAAAAAATTCCAAATTTTGTGTTCACTGTCCTATTTCTTAAAATAAAGAGCATTGCCAATGCTATTTGAAATAAATAATTTACATCAAGGCTATCATCTTGTATAGCACTTCCTGTAAAGCAGAATTTAAATGGCTATGGTTACAAATGTGTCTTTTAAAGATGCATTCCCTGTAAAATGGAAACAATGGTAGGTCCTTAAATAACTACTAGTTGCTGAAATTTAAAAAGAAATAATTCTATAATTAAGAGCAAATTTAAAACAGATGCTGGAATAAGAAGCACCAAAAAAAAAAAAAAAAGAGACTACTAAGATTTAACGGAATGTGAGCGTTTTCTTATTTAGTCCTCCCTTATTCTTCCTGATAATAGATCATAACAAATCATCCTCATACACCGCAGGCTGACAACCCAAAGTTAAAAGAAAACAAACAGTGTAAGATCTCTGGAGACTTCAATAACAGCTAAATTTTGCTCCCATTTAAAATGCTGGTTAAACTAAGTCACATTGACTCTTAACATTTTTCCAAAACACTAAATATTGTACATAAAGACTGGGTAGTATCCCTTGAAATAATCAGAGCTGTATTCTAGGGTCCTTTTCATATTCTATAAATTAGAAACTACCAGGCTCCTTCCAGAACAGTAATGTTTGACGGAGTATATGTTGAGTGAACAGAAATTAGATCTAAACCCTGTGCACAGAGTCCTAGTCCCATAGGCTTACTTGGACACCCCAATGTCATTCTTCTGGATGTCCTTTTCAAAGCTGGCATCATTTCAGTCTCATTGCTCCTAGGTCTTTTTCACATATTACCCACACAAAGTAGTGCCTCAAAGGTATTTAACTGAATGTGAAGCTGGGGAAAAAAAACCCTTTCTTCACTGGTATCTCTGTTTTGGGATAGAGAGTGAGGGGTTATAAACTGTATTTTCCTGTGTATCAGCTCTGTGGTTTGGAAGTGCTCCAAAGACTCCGAAACCAATAGGGCTCCATGGAATTGGGTCAAATTAGCTTCTCCTTGATTTTTTTATAGAAGGCAAGTACAGCTTTTCCACAGAAACACTTTTTATCTTTTTGGGGGTCTGTACAGTTCACCACCAGATGGATCACAGTTTATCTGGAAGGATACTCAGGTTCCTTCCCCATTTCAACAAAATAGCCAGGAAACCACAATCCAGTCATAGGTCTGGGAGAAAAATCTAGTCCATAAGAACCTCAGATTTTCCCCATACGTTAGCCACAAAGAGAGAATTTACAGATTTATTAATGCAT